TATATTTTTGGTTGGCCGATTAATTTCTTTCTAATTTTAGTAGAGGCGGGGTCTCGCTCTTGCTCAGGCTGGCCTCGAACTCCTGAGCTCAAACAATCCGCCCGCCTCGGCCTCCCAGAGAGCTAGGATTACAGGCGTGAGCCACTGCGCCCGGCCTGGAAGCTTTTTTTTTTACTTAAAAATAAGCTGTGGTAGTTACACTGAACCCAATATATTGATAGCTGGTGTTTCCTTCTTCATTTCAGGGCAGGCAGCTTGACACTGGCACACCATATAATCTGAGTGAACCGGTGAGTAATTGCTTCTATTGTCAAGAATTTTACAGTGTTTACTTTGATAAAAAAGGGACAATGGTCAGGTTTTATAGCAATAGGAATAACTACTAAGTAAAGTTTCATTTATTTGTCCTTGCTGGAAGAAGGTCAATTGACAATAGTGAGAATTTATTTAAAAATGAAGCGTGTTGAACTGGAAACGGCACAGGACTAATTTAAGTCTGTGATTTTTGACTCTACATAGCTCTGTGGCTTTGGACAAACTACTTAATATTTTTGAGATTTAGACTTATTATAGGTTGTCTGAGGTAGTCACTAATGTTTCTTCTAACAATTACATTTTATGGTTTTATTACTTTTCTGCACATACATTCATTCAATAAGTGTTTAGTGACTCAAAAGTGTAACTATGAACAAGGTCCTATGCTAGGCACTAGACATTTAAGAATGAGTAAAATAGGATCTCTGTTTAAAAGGACTGTCAACCTTTTGGAATGCATACTTAAAACAAGAGAGACAGACACATCCATAAAACTGTGTCCAGACAGCATCAAGAAAAGCAGAATAGTGTGTGTGAGGGTAAAAGAGAACACACAAGAGTAAAAAGCACCTTGCCTTTCTGCAGGGCATTCAAACTAAAACTAGAAAGAGGAAGAGTTTTCTAGAATAACTAGAGGGAAAAGATGTATCAGTCAGAGGGCCCTTTGTGTCAAGACACAAATGTGCACGAGGCAGCCTAACTTGTTCAGGAAAGTGAGAGTATTTCAGCTTGCTTGGAAAATGGGGTACGTGTGTGGAAAGTGGGGAGGTGGCAAGTTAGGCGGGGCCAGATCACGAAGAACTCTGTATGCCATGCTTGATAATTCGGGTTCAGTCCACAAGATGATAGAGGTATATAGAGTTTTAGAAAAGAGAATGGTGTGACCAGGTTTTGTTTTGAAAAGACTACTCCAAATGTGGAAACCAGGGAGGTCCTTCTTGAGGCTGTTGGTAAGTGGTAAAGGGCACAGCGAAAAATCAGGGGCAGTGAGTGAGGAGCTCAGACGGGTGTTAGTTAATGACAAGGTGAGTCAATCGGACTTGGCGATGGGAAGCGGAGGGGAATGGGAGCAGGAGAAGGCACCCTGGTTCCCAGCGTGAGCAACTCAGAAGATTGGAGCATGTTAATGGGAAACACAGGAGAAAGAGCAAATCTGAGAGTGGAAAATGAGGAACTTAATGTTTCACATGCTGAATTTGAAGCGCTTGTAGGGACTTGACTGGAGATGTCTAATGAGCAAGTGGATATCTGGGTGTGGAGCTCAGGAAGGAGCCTCAGCTGCAGTCTCACCGTTGCAGGTTACGGACGCCGACGACAGCTGAAGCTGAGGTAGCAGATGAACTCACTCAGGGAGAACTTGAAGAGTGAGAGGAGAAGAAGCTGAGGATAGGACACAGACATAAAAGGGGCAGAGAGAGGAGAAAAGATGGCAAAGGAGACTGAGCAGGAACTGGGAGGAAGGGGAAAGGGATCCAGGTGCCACTGTGGCCCGTGGAAGGAATGGTCAACACAGTCACAGGCACAAACAAATCAAGTAAGGCAAGGAGAAAGGTGTCGAATCTGGCCCACAGCAGGTCAGGGCAGCTTTGGGAGAACACTGTCGGGGGAGGTGAGGGGTGAAAGCCAGTTAGCAGGCAGCACATTCCCCAAACTGTCTACCTATTTAGGTTTCGACATGTGACCATCTGGTCAAGTGCCCAGTTGTGAGTTTTGCTTGTCGTGTGAGGACACCCTGTGGACCTAGGGTACACTTGATACCATGCTGTCTTGGACTCCACCATTGCCGGCTACCCAGTGGGCACTGTGTTCCCTGAAGATTGAGTGTTCTCTGGAGTCCAGGTCTGCCACCCAGGGCTTAAGTCCACTCAGCAACCTTGCGGCCCTGCAGGGAGCCACACCAAGCCCTGGTCTGTCTGTAGACAGGACAGCTCAGCTTAGAATCCCAAAGTTCCTGATGCTTTGGAAGCCTCGGCTTCCTCGGTAGATTTCTATTTCTAATACATAAGGTGATACTTTTGTTACTGTGTTGCACTTTCAAGTGACAAGAAAGAGTCACTTTCTTCAGTCACCATTGTCTGTTAACGTCTCTTGCAGTGCATTCAAGGATGTCATTTTTGGAACTCTGTACATCAGGAAAATTGTGCTTTAAAGTGTGTAAGTATTAATCGTTTCTGTCTTGATACTGATGTTTCCCTCCAGAGAAAATTTGTCTAAGAGAATTCCTATTTGCATGTCCATTGGTTTTCAATTAGTTTGTTTGACTCTAAGGGGAAAATATGATAGCCTGAGTAATAAGTAGTAATGGAAAAGAAATTGAGATTAACGTTAGTCATGCAACTAGAGGTCAACGAAGGTTAATGCAAATCGTGAAACCCAAGGATGCCCAGAGATATCCAATTGCTCTAAAACTATAAAAGCCTTTTGAATATTCGTTGAATTTCCTAGGCCTGAGCTTCTCAAATTTTAGTGTGCAATTATCTGGGATCTTGTTCAAATGCAGATTCCGATTCAGTAGGTCTTGAATGAGGCCTGAGATTCTGCACTTGTAACAAGTTCCCAAATGATTTGATGATGGTGGTCTCCAGATCACATATTGGATAGCAGGTCCCTAGGTCATGTCCTAAGTTTCTTTGCAGGGAACATGGTAGCAATTCAATTCAGAGGTCACAAACATTTGCTTTACTCTACTTTATGTAGGAAATACATCCTCAGATACTGTATTTTTCATTTTTAATTTACTCTGGCTTTGCCACTTATGTGTAATTGACTTAATCCCTTGGTACTTTACTTTCCTCATTAGTAAATTAGGATAATAATAGGATCTCCCTCCTAAGGATAGTGTCTGTTACATTGTAACTACACCTAGGGATAGTGTCTGATACATTGTAACTACTCTGATCTCATGGATAAGAATTTTACCATTTAAAAGTGGGTTGCTTTAATGATACTGTATAAGAAAGACATCTGCATCCGAATGTTTATAGCAGCACAATTCACAATCGCAAAGATGTGGAAACAACCCAAGTGTCCATCAATACAAGAGTGGATTAATAAAATGTGGTATATGTATACCATGGAGTACTATTCAGCTTTAAGAAACAACGGTGATATAGCACCTCTTGTATACTCCTGGATAGAGCTGGAATGCATTCTACTAAGTGAGGTATCCCAAGAATGGAAAGACAAACACCACATGTACTCACCATCAAATTGGTATTAACTGATCAACACATAAGTACATCTGTACCCCCAATCTATTGGATGTTGGGCAGGGGGAGGGGGAGGGGGAGGAGGGAGGGGGCGACGGGTATATGCATACAGAAAGAGCGCAATGCGCACCACCCGAAGAATGGACATATTTGAAACTCGGATTTGGGGGGGGGCAAGGGCAACATACGTAACCTAAACATCTGTACCCCCATAATATGCTGAAATAAAAAAAAAGTGGGTTGCTTTGTTCAGGTTGTTCGTTTCAGAGGTTAAATCAGTAAGAATTGTGGCAATGTTGGGGAATTCTAATGACATTTTCTATTAGTGACTCAAATTATTGCATCAAGATTTAAATAAGGACATTAATCTTTCCCTATATGTGGTCCTCATAGTTTTTCTTATATAGTATGTCCTTGCAGACCTCTGTTACAGAAGTTAACTGTGCCCATTTCTCACCTTTGTGACTGCATGCCTCACAGAATGGAAGCTGTCAAAAGGCAGAGCATATGTTACCTGGAGTTAGTAGCTATTATATCTTTTTCACAAATTGCAACTTAAATAATTATTTGTCTAGTTATGTGTTTAATATATTTTACCCCAACATGTAAGTTCTACCAGGGCAGGCAGCTAGCTCTCTTTTTCAGATGTATCTCTTCCACTGAACACAGCATGAGGGTGTAGCAGCTGCTCAGTCAGCATTTGCTGGGGGAATGGATGGGAAGCACCATTTGTTTCCAGGCAACAATCAAGGAAGTGGTGTGGATGGTGGAGTGGACCGGTTTGGACAGAGGAATCTGCTGGCCTTTGCTAGCCAGAGCTGTTGGTGATTTTCGTTTCCAGTTCTGTCTCCCTTGGGTATCTGCAAACACTCCTTCACTCTCTAACCTGGTCCATCACAGATTACCTCTTAGTTGTCTGGGATTTTCTAGTAGACATCATGCTTTACGTTTTTTCCAGTGATGCAAGCAACGTAATTTCTAGAGCTGTTCATACAGTAGCCTACCTGGACAGAAAGCCCAGCTCTAGGCTCCCCTGCTTTTGTTTTTTTGTTGGTTGTTTATCAATGATAGGACAAGAAATTAATTTGGAAGAAATGTACAGCTAAGTATCACTAAAATTATTTACAACCTTCAAGATTTTAAGTCGTCTTATTATGCTTTTTTTTTTCTGTGCAGAATGATACCTATGCCACCGTTTGTGAGGTGAGTTGGCAATCACAAAAAAGATGTCTCAAGCCACATATCTTTCTCTCTCATCTTTAAAAAGGTATTACAATAAGAATGAAGAAAACTGAGGTATTCTCAGTGCACAGAGACTTTCTTCCTGGGAGTGTTATTACTCTACATATAAAAATGACTGTATAATTCTATTTTCGGTGCAAGTATTTACTATGCTTTGTGTATCTATGTGTATATACATAATGTATTAATATATAAAATATAAATGTGTGCATATGTGTACACACATGCTCACAAATCTACATATGTATTACTCTAATCTGGTTCGGAAGGTTATAGTTCCTGGAGCCTGAGGAGGAGGGGCATGGGGCAGGGAAAGGAAGGGGCACATGTAGGGATATCTCTGCTGATGCCATTTTCTTCCCCACAAGGTATAGTGCTCTATCATTAAATATAGTGCATTAAAAGAGAACCCTTTGATTGCAATTTTCTTTCTTATTCAACAACATTTTCAAACACAGGCCCCCGCCCACCTTTGATAAGAAGTGACTTCGCATGTTGGCTTTGGCTGCCCTGCCCAGGTCTCTCCACCGTCCGCTCAGCCTGCCTCTGCTGCACTCGATTTCCTCCTCTCCTTTAGAAAGACCTTGACATTTTGATCTTTCCCTACTCAGTCTTCTTCAACTAAGCTTACCTGTCCTGGATTTTCTCCTCTCAGAATAAGGTTACTTGACAATAAGTTCTGTGAAGAAGCTACATTATTCCTTATTTTATTCCTTATGTTGTATTCTATTTAAACACCCTTGAAACCAGTGAGCAGAATTATCTTATCCCTCCTGGGAAGGACTATAAATTTTCATCAATTAATAAAACAGAAAAATTCCCCCTTAATAGAGAAAAAAATTAAAACAAAAAATATCATATTGGCATATTTTCTCAATAGTCAGTGGTTGATTATTTTGTATCTGAGTGATTCTCCTTGGGAATGGGTGGGGGTGGGAATTGGCTAAGAAAAGATACAATAGAGGGAAAAACTCCCCCCATATGTAATTAGACAATTAAAAGTGTCTCCTGATTGAGATTAAAAAAAAAATCCTGGCTGGGCGCT